GCCCGTTGCGCTGCGCCGCCCGTTGTGTCTTGGAGCTCTCTTAAACGCCGCGTAAAAAGGGGCTTTTTTAAAAAAAGGTGACCTTCCTCGGCGGCCTTGCCAGCACTGAGCTGGAAATTGTATCAAAACGAGAACTCTCGCTTCAGATTGAGATAAGATAGTGCATTGACGTGGCGGGCCGTTTTCCAGCCGCCGCGCAGGGAGCTGAGGGTGCAGCCGCCTTTATCCCGGCGTCTGCGCGGAGGTTTTCAGGGGGTCTGTGACTCACCGGTGTTATGGGCAGCTTGAGCAAAAAGCTGGCAGGTGGGAAGGGTTCTCCAACAAAATAACTGTTGTCCATTGAGCTACCAAGGCTTTGCTGTGTTTCATGTTTGCATAATATTTTATACAGTCTTTCTTGCTTAAAAACAAGGCCATTGGGGTTTTGGGTTGTGTTTATAAACTCTGGTTTTGCTTTTCTTAACAGTGACTGTGTTCTTAAGCACTTTGACACCAAAATTCTACTTTGCACTTACTGTGACTTCATCCTTTATTTCTGGACTGATATTTGTAAGTAATCTGCTTTCCCTCTCCTCTTCCCTCACCCCTTTTTTCAGCTTTTGAATTTGTTAGGGTGAAATGCAATAAACCGTTTTGTTGAACAGACTCTAGAGGGTGCCTTTGTGCTATAAAGGAACTTACACTTTAGCTTAATAACTTGAGGAGGAACCATAGGTTTAATGAAAAATGTACCAGTTTTCCCACATGTTATGTGGTAGATCTTGCATGACAAGAGAGGCATGAAACAGTTAATTGGTGTTAATTAGCAGGTATAAGCTCTGTCTATAGTCATTTGCAGAGGCCCGTCCTTGCTGTGCACAGCTCGCTCTTCATCCTGGTGCTTTTTCGCTCTTGTGGCAGGTGTTTGAGTGGTGGCACTTCCGAAAATACGGCACGTCTTTCATTGAGCAGGTGTCTGTGAGCCACCTGCGGCCCCTCATCGGCGGAGCGGAGAGCAGCGCCGCGGCGCCCGTCACCTTCTCGGCGAGCAGCGCGGAGAGCGAGACAAACAGGCAGAACTTGCCAGGTGACTGTCGGCCTGTCCCGGCGCTTTCCTTGGGCTTCAGGAAGGCCTTGTTGAAGTGAACTTATTTTCTTTTGGATGGTTTTGATTCTGCATTAGTGCTTATAGTAACGGGAGAAAGGCCTGTATTTTACTGATGTGTTTTATTAGTAATGATAAAAGGAATTAAGTGACACATAATAGATTGCATAGTGTCGTTCATCTAAAGCATTCATTATTAAAAGCATCACATCATTTTGAAAATATGTTTAGTTAGAAGTGTTTCAGTAAGAATAGATTTTTACTGTTCTGCATACATACAAGATAAACATTGCACGAATGTGAATGGCAGTGTTTAATTTTTGTCATGTGCTTTTGTATGATGGAAATGATGGAGGAGGAGAAAATCCGTGGGGCAGCAGACAGAGAGCAGAAGATGATCATATATATTAAAAAATAAGTCATAATTGCAATTAAACTGTATAAATCTCAGAATAAAGGCAGCTTGGGGGTTTGTTATTGAAGTAAAACTGTGTAGCTTCTCTTTCAGAAAGTCGTGATAGTATTTCTTGTGCTCTTAATTCAGAAAGTACTTATTTTTTTATCGTTTTCAGAGTGTAAAGTATGGCGAAATCCTCTCAATCTTTTCAGAGGGGCAGAATATAGCAGGTATTAATAATCTTATTTTTCATTGCATGCTTTTAAAATTAACCTGGAGCGTATTTATGTTGTGTTCCAAGAGTCCCAATAATCCTGCTGGGAGACAAGTCCTACAAGATGATAGGGGTGGTGTTTTGATTCGTGCCAGTCTGTGTTTAAAAAGCACGTAGCCAGATTTTGGCAGTTTCACGTTGAGAAGGCAGGTATTTCTGTAAACAGCAGGGTGATGTTGGTAGTCTGCTCTTCCTAAGAAGGTTTCTGCACTAGCTGCAGTGTTAGCACATCTGATGTCCTCCTTGGCTTTGCACCTTACTGGAATTTCTCTTGTTAAAGATACATGTGGGTCACTGGGAAGGAGCCTCTTACGTATTATGATATGAATTTGTCTGCCCAAGATCATCAAAACTTTTTCACGTGTGATACAGATGCCCTTCGCCCTTCAGATACAGGTACCACACACATGTGTATAAGATACGTATAGGGGGTGTATAAATTGAATATTTTAATGGATGTCAGCATAGTGTAAGCTATCATAGAAAAAGTTTTGTGAAGTAATAGCTTTTTTCTACTCCTTTGCTGTTTGAATAGATGTTATTTTACATTGTGCTGTGTCGGGCAGCTTTAAGGGTGCTTGTGCCTCAGGTTTGTGGAATATTTTAAGATCTCACACTTACTAATTAACAATAGGATACTGAAAACTTGAGTTATTCTTCAAAGCAGTACAGTGGTCTCATTTAAACATACCGTTGATGAACTGTCCTGTCTCCATGATTTTTTCCATAGTATTCCAAATGTTTAGTGCAGAAAATTTGCTCAACCTGGTTATTGTCAGACTAGGTGCTCACTAATAGCAATTTATCAAGTTCCGGAAGCGTTGCTTGTCAGCTGGCTGTGACAGGCTGGATGTGTTTTTGCTTCACAAATGGAGTGTATTGTCTCGCTTACTAAGCCAAGACGAATATTTTGTTTCCAAACGAAAACTTGAACATTTTTCCCCGTTATTCTTGCTGGACAGCAGAAAGTTTTGTTCCAAAAGAAACATGCATAGGTTCTTCAGTTTTCTTATCATACTTGAGATTGGCCAGATATTTAATTCCATGAATGTAATGTTCTGGAGTTCTTTCAGAAGTGTTATTTTGTGAAAGATTTTGAACCTGCCTAGCAGATGGTAGCTGCGAGTAAGCTGTATTTTGAGTGAAGCTGATCCCCAGTTTAGGATTCCACTTTTCTCTAGTAGGAACATGCGGAAGGGTGCAGAGATGCTTCACTGAACTTTGCTTTTCATCCGATTGATTTTTTGAGTTGTAGGCCACACAAGCCTTTTGAATAGGTAGATTTCATCTTTTGTTTTTAATTACTTCCTAGAGCTTCTTTTAGTAAGGTAAATTTTCATCTTATATCTTAAACTGCCTTTGCCACGTTATGCCACTCAAATATGCATTAACCCTTTGTGATCTGATGATTTTCTAAACACTGAAGTATGAAACAACTGTGTAACACACATCTTACTGTATCACCTTTCTTTGAAGTTCTGTTTGAAAGCTTAAATTAAAATTCTGCGCAGGTCTGTGCAAGAATCTGTGTTTTAACAATTGTTCCTGCCAAGCTTTCAACAAACCTTGTGAAATATTTCCAGAAATCTGTAGCAACCTAGAAACTGTACATGTGCCTGGTTGTGTAAGCTGCCTTTCGGTTCAGTTTAGGAGTTCTTAAATGATTAGTGAATGTTCTTCCTATTGGTATTGATGTCTTGCATTAAATTTGTGGCATAATCAGATGCTGCAAGATTCTGCTTTTTGTGGTAGAAGCTGCTGCTGGAATTAAAACGCTTCTTTACTCTTCCCTAGAGCAGTTGTTTGGCAAAGGTGAATTTGCAAAACGAAAGTGAATGTTAGTCTGTTAGAACTGACGCATAAACAGCCAATATTGGCTCAGTTTTTCTGACTGGCAGACGAGGCATTTGCCTGCGTTTCTGTTCCTCATCAGCCTTTACGTGTTTTTGCAACAGTTATGCAGAAAGCCTGGAGAGAGAGAAACCCCCAAGCCCGGATTAAAGCAGCTTACCAAGCTTTAGAACTGAACAATGAGTAAGTTTAGAATATAAGTTTGTTTTCCTTATTTATGATTTGAAAGATTAGCCGGCACGATATTGACCACAGTATCAGTTTCTTGTTCTAATTATTTAGAATTAGCAAGAGAAGTTTACACATACTTTAAGGGGGATTTTATGAGTATGAGAATTACAAATGCAGCTGTCGGTTGCCATGAAATATTGATCTGTGTGTTTTAGAAAAAGTAGCTTTTGTTCTCTGTATTTTTAAATGTAGTTTTTTATTACTCTTTGCATCAGTAGCAATAACACATAGGAGAAGTCATTCGGAGGTGGAACAGGGCTTAACTGAATATGCCACCCTGGGTGCATCCAGGGTGGCATTATGGTAGTACTGCATTTGCTGTCCGTACGTGATGGTGTTCTAAAGGGTTTGAATATACTTGTACCACACAAACCAAAAAACTTCACTCACTTTTGCAGTCAGTTTTATTTTGTAATCTGGTCCTTTTTGTACAATAAGTTTTGCCTTTTTTGTTTTAGGAGACAAACAAACTGAACAAAAAGGGGTTTCATGCAATTATCACATTGTTTTAAATATTTAATGAAAAATAATTTTAGTAGAAATTAACTTCTTTGTTTTGGAATGTTTATTTTGCTCTAAACCTGAATAAGTTTCTGTTTTCCTGGCACTTGTCGCTTGGAACATAACCAGTGAATATTATGGTACAGCAATTTACTATTGTCAGTGCTTACATGGATACTAAACACAAGGAAAAACTCATTTTTTCTGAAGTGTTTTACACTTATTCACAAACATTAAGCTTTATGTACCTCAGAATAATTTGCGTCTTTTCCCCTGTTACAGCTGTGCAACTGCCTATGTCCTCCTGGCTGAGGAAGAAGCAACAACTATTGTAGATGCTGAGAAGTATTTTAAACAGGCTCTGAAAGCAGGAGAAACAGTTTACAGAAAGTCTCAGAACTGCCATTCCCAAAGTCCCCAGCATGAAGCACAGCTGAGTAAGTACTTTTGAAGCAGATAAACATCTGCTTTCAAGCAGCAAAATAAAACAAAAGTTTTGATTAGTGATTTGAGTTTGATCCCCAAATCAGTGAAGCAGTTCTTATTATTTTACTTATGTTTAGTATTACATACTATATGATCTTTTGTTGTACCAGAGTAAATCTAGAAAGTGGAACCTATGCTGTGCTTTTATCATAGGTTGTCTTGTTGAGGTTCCTTTTATTCCAGCCAACCATTATTAAGTCATTTCTAGTCTATTTTTTTGCCATTTAACCTTGTGGAATTGACTTTTTTGTTTGGTATTTGGTATCTATTCATTTTAGAGGTATACATTCAGGATTCCAGTCAAAGTCCTTTATCTTTACTGTTTTTGTTCTACAGACAGTTTCACCTTGATTAGCTACTTTAAAATATCCCTGTTAGAATGTATATTCATACCTCCTTATTTTTCAAAAAGACCCCAACTGATGGACTAATATTCTTTATTTTTTTAATCAGGAAGAGATACCAATGTACTGGTATATGTGAAAAGGAGGCTAGCTATGTGTGCAAGAAAACTTGGAAGAATAAGAGAAGCTGTAAAAATGATGAGAGATGTAAGTAATTTGAGAAGTGTGAACAATTCCTGATGTTTTTCTGTCACGTTGTCCAAACGTGTCACAGAAAATTCCCTTACTAGATATCATAGTGAATCTAATTTAATTATTTCCCAGTGAAGTGAGATTTGCACATCATTTTGGATTTATTTGCTGCGGGATTGCCAATGAGAACTCTTTGATTCCTATATCTAGAAATTAATTTTTCATATTGTATGATGACATACGTTCCTAGTTTTGTTGTCCAGCATAATTAATGCTTGAGTCAATAGCTAACTCATCAAAAGAGCTGAACTTTGTTGTTCGCTTTATTGCACTTTTGTCTTTTGCTTGCCCAAGGTGTGTTGTAACTTATTACTACACAAAAAAAAGTTCTCAGCAAACTGGCCCACTGGGGAAGACATGCCAGTCTGGGCTGGTAGTATGATGTATCAACACTTAAGTATGGTCATTTTCCAGTAGATGAATGCAGGTAACAACAAAGAAAAAAGGTGACCTTTACAAGGCAAACAACAGAGCATTGAAAATGCTTATATTATTGTATTAGTTTTTTTAGCTATTTGAAGAGTTCAAGTAAAATAATATGTCATTGTACCTGCTTTATTTCTCTGTATTGTTTTGCAGTTAATGAAAGAATTTCCACTTCTCAGCATGCTGAATATTCATGAAAACCTCCTGGAGGCACTGCTGGAATTACAGGCCTATGCAGATGTCCAGGCAGTTTTAGCTAAGTATGATGGTAAGTGATGTCACTTGCTGACATTTGTGTATAACTGTGTAGGTGAAGGGGCAAACTGCCTGTCCAATAACCAGGTGTCTACCAATATCTGAAAGAGAAAGACCTCGTTCTTAAGTGTCTATTTATGCATGCATTTCTCCTTAAATCCAGCTTCGGTGTCTGGGTATATTTAGAAGAAAGAATTACTCTTTCCAGCCTAACTCTTGAGGTTTTTGATCTGAGACTGAATGGTCACCATAAGATTTTGCTTCATTGTTAAGAAGTTCAGGGTTTCTAATCATAGCTGAAATTTTCCAGATATGACGTTTATTGTATGGTATACCTAAATAAAAATCTTTAAGTTCAAAGGAAGTGGGTTTAAAGTGTTTGTCTTCAAATGTTGCAGTTTAATTGTTTTATTTTATCATAGATATTAGTCTTCCAAAATCAGCAGCAATATGTTACACAGCAGCCCTTTTAAAAGCCAGAGCTGTTTCAGAAAGGTAAGCAAGTCCACTTGTGAAAACACTGATTTATTGCTAATTTTGGATTGTGCTGTAAAGTAAGAATTAAAAAGATCTTAATCCAATATTTAGTATTTTGAGTATTTAGCTTGTGATGTTCAGCAGATTTGGGGCTTTTTTCCTGTGTGTGGATTAGGTGCTGGATATTTGTGGAAGCTCATGCTGACATTTCTCTTTCCTGATCGATTTTCTCGATCAGGAAACACAAGTTTCTAAAAACACAAGTTTCTAAAAGTTTAACGGGTCTTTGTTACAGTGGCTTGGATGGCAGTCAAAATTGACTATATTAACCTTTGCATTTGTTTGATAGAAGGGTTTATTTCTCATTTTTGATACATCAGTCAATTCTTAATTAGTTACAACCTCTAACAAACAAGCAACTGGTTAGCCTTTATCAACTTTATTCTGCATGGGTTTTCCCTTCAGATTCTCCCCTGAAACTGCCTCCAAAAGAGGGCTTAGTACAGCAGAAATAAATGCTGTGGAAGCAATTCATAGAGCTGTGGAATTTAACCCTCATGTTCCAAAGGTAAGAATATTTGATCTGTTATTGGGCTACTTTATCATCTTCTGAAAGAAGTCATCTTACTATGTTGCCTTGTGGTGTGAGCCTTTCTAGCCTTCTTTTATTTGAAGTTGGTTGACTTCAGCCCTTTAGCTGTTTATATCATAAGTGTTTGGCAAGAATTAGTTGGTAGTTTGGTTGGTAGGTAAGAAAACTGCCTCATGATTGGTGTTTTTCTTAATATTTAAATGCAAGCTAAAGCTTTCGAACTTGCTGGAAAAACCAGTCATGTATTGCTGAAGGCCTTTTGTTGAGTAAGCTAAATGTTCATAAATGTAAAATTAAATCTTTCAAATCCCTGAAGCCAATTTAAATTATCCAGACAGAAAGTATGCGAAATACTTCAAAATATTTCTTTCTGTTGTATTTAAAGCATGCCTGCAGAACTCTGGTTATTGAAAGATCTGCAGTCACTTATTTTCTTCATCCTTATGTAAACAGGACTAAGAATCTGTACTGTAACATGCTGTAATTTAGTGTCTGCCATTACCTTAAGTAGCCTAGGTAATAGATTCCACTACACATTGTGTGCAAATAATATCTTTTCTTGCTTTTTACTGTGCTGGCATTGGGGATGCATTCAGTTTGAAGTCCTGAATGTAGAAAGATGGCTTAGTTCTGGACATAATCCTCTGCAGATAATCATGGAGTCCGAATGACTATCGCTGTGAAGGCTTGAATTATCCAACCACTCTATTCTGTCTGCCTGTCCAATCTAATAGAATGTGCACCGAGAAAGCTAATTGCTGGGAGAAATTGCTGCTTGTTTGCATGACTGATCAAGAGCACAGCAAGTTCATTTCAGACAGTCTCAGACAGATTTTTCTTTACCCTCTGCCTTTAGGGGAAGAAGATTATAACGCATTATCATTATCTAAAAGTTCTTTTATTTTGTATATTCTTCAGTTGTTTTAGGAGTGTCGTGCACCCTTTTTTAAGAAGTTGGATACCATATCAAGCAGTCTGCTTGCAAAATATGTTTGGTGGTTTAACAGACAATCAGGAAAGTGATGTTAAGTTTCCATCCTGTGATCTTGTCCCTGATTTTATACATTGTCCAGATTTCTTTGTAGTTTTTTATTATGATAGCTCCTTGCAACACCAGTTGATAAAACTTCCAGGCAGAATTTTATGGTTGCTGGCTATTTAGAGTATGAGCTATAAAATATCCATAGTCAAAACACAAGAAAAAAGAAGAGAGGAGGGACACAAGTGAAGTAACTTGCCCAATACGTTATGGTGGACTAGGAAATCTAGTTTCTAAATTTGCAGTCTGTCCTTTCCTCTGGACTAAAAATGAATGAGTGTAAAGTATAAATCTCTCTGTTCTTGCGTCTAGTGAAAGCGATCGTCCTTGCAGATAGCTGTTTTCCTTATACAAAATGATGCTAAGAGCAAAAAAAAACGTGCTTTTACAAGGATGGCTTTTGTTTGAAAAGTTAGGAAAGCATTTTATGGTGCTGCAAAATGATACTTTTAAGCCATTTCAAATGGAATATCTGTAGTTACATCTTGATAATCTGCAAAACATGCTTTTCCAATCATCTTCTAAGTATCGTACACATTTTAAATGGGCAAAAAGAGTTTAAGTCTGGAAAAAAAACCCCACATACTAATACCTTGTAATTTTATGGTTATAAAAAAATACTGAAATCTTTCAGTTTCTGGGTTCCTTTTTTTTTCCTGCCCACATAGTACCATGTGGGCGCAGAGGCAGCGCGAGCCTGGAGTTAAGAGCAGTGTGTGGAGCTCCATCCCCGCTCGCCTTTGCGGTCCCGTGCTCTTTAGGCGGTTAGTTCAGCTGAAAAGGCGGCCCTGCGGAGAGCATGAGGAGTCAGGTCGAAGGTCAGATATTTGAGACCATTTTCCCACAGCAGCCCTGTGTGAGTGATCCTTTACTGCGTTAAAAAAAAAATGAAGAGGATTAGAGAGGATTAGCAAGAATATTACCCTCCAGAGCGTAGGCCCAAGGCACTAAGAGAAGAACCTAGCCAGGCAGTAAATGTGCTTTATTTGGCCAGGGCACAACCCCTACCACATTCCTTCAAGAATCTGAATGGGAAAAGTTAAGTCCTCAAACTGGATTAGTAAATAATCTCATAGTTTGTGGCATCTGCTGAAATAAATCGGTGAGTTGCCTGCATTCTTACACCTGGGGAGACAGTCAAAGGAATTGCCAGCCACACTGATCAAAGGTGTGGATTAACTTTGGCTTTTATTGAATGAGGCATTATATGCTAGGAGAAGACAACTCATAAGTAAACACGAGAGCTGGAACTATCATTTTATGCTTCTAAAAATTACTTACCTGTTTTAAAAGCAAAGTTCAAAAGAAATACCTCTTTTTTAATATACAATAAAAAATGCATATCCTGTGTTACAAGGGAAATGGAAAAAATGTTTATTCTTGTAGTCATGGGCTCTTCTGTGCGTTGTGTATTCTGCTCATGTAGGGAGAAGGCTGAAACGGAGAAATTCTGAAATCAGCTACTTTGTGGTAGCACAGCAAAACCACATTAAACCCGGGGCTTTCAGAATTCTGCTTGATCCTTCTTCCTTTTAGCATGCTGGCACTTACCACCCACTTCTGACTTGCTGCCGATACTCAAGAACTAACAAATATTTAGCTTGTGTGTTGAAAGGTTGTGATAAAACTGTGAGTAAAAGTACAAGGGTTTTTATTAGCTTAACCTTACAATTCTTTGCTGTTGTATCAGCAGCGATACATTTTAGATATCTTGAACAAATATGTTCACATTCTGTGTCATGGAAGATGCATTTTTCCTGGTATTCCGTGTGTGAAAGTTATAGTTTAAAAGCCTTATAATACTCATGCTTGTGTTTTTTCCGTTTCCTGTGCAAATGGATGCTGTTTCTTCAACAGATAAAGTTGGTCTCTGTGCTCTGTTTTGCCTCAAATGATCCTTTGTTTCACAGTTAGTAAGGATTTAAAAGTATTCCATGTAACCAAGTGCTTTCCACCTCTCCTTTCAGTATTTGCTAGAAATGAAAAGCCTAGTCCTACCTCCAGAGCATATTCTGAAACGAGGGGACAGCGAGGCAGTAGCATATGCTTTTTTTCATCTCCAGCACTGGAAGAGGATAGAAGGGGCTCTAAATCTGTTACATTGCACATGGGAGGGCAGTAAGTATCTTTGCTTTGTTTGCGTGTTTTTCTTTCCTTTTTGCACAGTGGAGTAATCTCTGTGCTTTATTCACCTCAATCCCAGCTGGTTCTCTTTGTGGGAATCTGTCTGCTTGGTTTAGCTATGAATCTAATACCACTTGCTCTTTTTTTCAGCGTTTAGGATGATCCCCTACCCGTTAGAGAAAGGCCATCTTTTCTATCCTTATCCAAGTTGTACAGAAACAGCAGACAGAGAGCTGTTGCCAAGTAAGTGGTTTCCAAGCATTGATAATAAAACATAACCTAAGGAAGTGTTCGGTTTGTGTTGTTTTGTATTTACTTTACTGTGGTTTCAAGCTTGAGCTTCTCATGAAGGGGATTCAGCTACTTGTTGATGTCCTTCCCAAATGTTCCCCAAGCACTTTACACGTGCTTGGGGATAAGTGGTGGCTTGATTCTGTAATAACCAAACAGGTCCTCCCGAGAGGAGGTTTCCATGTGTGGTGTATTCATATTCACCCTGTGTTTTCCCAGCTTTGAGAGCAGAAAAAAATAGACCAGTTCCTTACATCACTTCTAAAAGTCATAGATTTGGTTACTGTAGCAGAGGAGCTGTTTATTTTTAGCAAGGTATAAATGCATGGTTGCATTCTTACATTTCTGACATGTAAGTATTTGGCATAACCTGTTTGTGATCTTAAAGGAAGTCCTTGGTTAATCTTTAGCTCGAGAGAATGTTTATTGGTTTCTGTGATTCATTTTCGGGTACGTGTTCATCTGCTGCGTGCTGTGCTTCCTGGAATTTTTTATCCATTTAGACTCTCTTATGGATTTATACTGACACTTAACACTGAAGAGCAAGTGCTCTTCAATTGTCTATTATATCCGGATTATTTTATGTAAATATGTGCCTAGACGCTTTTTGTTTTGGTAAAGCAACCTGACAATAAACTATTAGGTCCTTTGCTCCTTATGTCTGAGAAAGTAACATTAATTTAGATAAGAATTGGACTGTTAATTGCATGTGCTAATAGAATTCTTTTAAGGCTACCTTTTATGTCATGAAGAAACACAAGTCCCAGAGGATTGTAAAGGGCTACTGCAAAGTACCAACAGACCCACTGAGACCACAGCTGTGGAAAAGCAAACCTACACATACGTATTTCCATTCAAATGCCTGAAGTTATATTTAAAATGTGTAATTTAAATTTGCCCCCAGACTGCTTTAAATTACTCATTTCTCACTTATGCAGGATATTGCACAAGGAATTCCTTGGTTAGTGACTAACCCTAAATTGTAGACTTCCCAGCATAATTAAACACCAACACATGCACATGTTTCAACACTATCACTCGCGCATTCCTGTTACGTTTTAAATATAAAACTAACCATAAATAAAATCATCTTAACACTTTTATTGCACTACTTCCTCAAGAAATCTTGACACTTATTTTTTTAACTTATCTTTCTGAAATAACAGCCAAATTAGTTATTCAGAGACCTGAACTGATCTGATTAGTAACTGCACATATAGAATTGTTTTTAGTTATCCTTATGTATTTTGGATTTGATTCTAACATCTCAGTGTAGGAACAACTGATATAAAATCAGATGAGCTTCTGCACTGCATGAGAGCCCGGCCTGGTGCTAAGCAGCGGTTCCAGGCTTGGTAAAGCCGGGCGCGTTGCTGTCTGAAGTAGCAGGGCTGGTTGCTGGTTAGGAAGGGGAACTGATAATCTCTAGTGTAATCTCTGTGAGCGCCAGTATCTCTAAACGCAGGCATTAGATGCGGAACCCTGTGTGTTCTGCAGAGTGGTGTTCCATAATGAGATTAAAAAGCAAAACCAAACCAAGCTCTTTATCATTAATGAGTTGTAGGCAAAGGCACGAGTCACTTTTGCTGGGGTTGCTTTCACAGGGGTGACACTTTCTATGTTTTTGCATGTACCAACATTCAGAAACAATAACAGGGTGGATGAACTGTCTTTTCTCCTCTGTCTCCTCTCCTCTCCAGTCTGCTATGTGTTAAAAGCGGAAAAAAAAAAAAGGTGCAAAATGAAAAACTAGTAGAGTAAAAACAAATAAGAAAATAAAAAAATTTTCGTGTTTTCTAAAAAGACTTCCCTAAATTTTGCATTTGTAGATTTATAAGCAGCTTGTGCAGAAATATGTGCAACCCTGCCATAATTACCTATGTATAAAAAAAACCCTTCATTTAAAAAAAAAAAAAAAAAAAAAAAAAAAAAAAAAGCTTTCAGAGTCATTGATAGAAATTCACAACTGCAGATATTCAGAGCCTGAAAATAATTGCAGATTCACTGAACAGGTCCTCAGCTAGTAGTCAGTTTTGGTGTCTTTAGTGCTGAATGCCCCATATGCCAGACCTGTAGGCTGTCTAATCACCTCCTTTTGGTTTCATGAGCATAGACTTGAAATAGCAAGGAACTGTTATAGACAGAATTTATAACCTAGTTCTGGTGCAGTTTTCTTTGAGGTCTGCTCTGTCAGCTGCTGAAAAATGTACTGTAGTCTGCAAAGCAGAAGTCTTGGGGAAGTTTTACAGAGCGTGCATACACGATCTGATGGTTGATCTGGATTTACTGAACTCAAGGTGGATGAGTATTTCATTAGAATAGGAGAGGCAGGAAAAATGAAATAATCTTGAAAAATGCAGTTCTCTTTAAATAATAGAATTAATACTTCAAAAGGTTGAAAACACCTGAATTGTTTAAATTGGCCTAGGTAATTTGTCTGGAACATGTATTTTGACAGCTTGTAAATTTTATAGCTCTTCCTTCTGTCCTGTTAAAAGAGTAAGTATCAAAAACTAAGCCTGATGAAATGTTTTAAAAATAAATCCCATGCAAGTGGGAAAGAACGTTGGGAAGAGAAAGCTGTAGAGACTGTTAATAATAAGCAAAGTAATGTAATGTTGGGGAAACTTTTTAAGAGTTTGAATGAAGCCCTGGAACTTGTTTTGAACTGCACAATAGTTAAGTCCACACTTGCACCTTCTGTAATACAGAATTGAGTGTAAAATTAATTCTTATATATTATTGATTATCAAATACCAATATATTAATATTTTCCTTTCAGCGTTTCATGAAGTCTCCGTTTATCCGCAGAAGGAGCTTCCCTTTTTCATCCATTTCACAGCAGGCCTGTGCTCCTTCTCAGCAATGCTCGCCCTCCTTACACACCAGTTCCCTGAGCTGATGGTTGTTTTTGCTAAAGCTGTAAGTACTGTTTCTGTTATTGGGCTTGCTTTGGGAATTTGTGGGATCTTCAGCATTCCTGAGGTCCGTGTTTGGTGCTGCTGGGGGCTGTAGTCAGTCTCGTGTTCCTCCAAGTTGTGTGTGATGCTAGATAGAGTTGGATTCATAGCTTCCCCTGAGAGACTAATTCTTTTTCCTTCTGATTTAATGAGGTTACTCCTGAATGTCCATTGAATGTAACGTAGCTTTGGCTTCCGCTGTCTCCTTGATGTGATTTTTCAGCTTTAGAAGAAAAAAAAAAAAAAAAAAAACCCAAAAAACCAAACAAACAAAACCAACCAAACAGCAACAAATTTTCATCCTGATTTAGGAGGCTTTTCCAGGAGCTAACAGGAGTTAAAATCCAAGCCTTGAGAATGTTTAGATTGTAAACTCTGAGAAAGAAACTGTTTAATTTTGTATCTTGTATACTGAGGACACTGTGCAAAACAAATAAAACTTTGCACATTCTCTACAAGCTGTTTGACTTGCTGCTGCTTTTTGTTATCTTGGAAAGGAATGTTCTGCACTGAGCCGTGATGGCAGCTCAATACTTACGATAGCAATTGTAAAATCTTCCTGCAAGACATGTTATGGCATCAAAACTGGAAATCAAATAAAGCCCTGTAGCACTTTTAAATGTATTTCCGTTTTACCACTGTTTCTCACATCTCTGCCTTTTCAAAATCAGAGATGCCAACATCCTTGCAGCAGATGTTTGCAGTGTCTCGCTATGTCTCTTCAGTGCTTAACACAGGAGGTGTTGAATCCTGTGTAGGAAATTTAGACACAATCATTTATCAAATACCTTCTTAGTTTCTTTCCTTCTGCTCTGTTATTACTGTTCTGTAACAGGGGTGCTGCTCTTCCAGACTTCTGCTTGGGTAGTTGGTGTTTTAAAGGCACTGCTACAAAGAGGCTTAGACAGAGACAGGGAGGTATCTTCAGAACAGTGACCGTAGAGGAGTGAGCTTGTGGCCTAAGTGTGATATTCTGTGAACTTTCTGTTGCTGTTTGAACTGGGTGCTACAGTACAGGGGTGAATGGACAGGTATCGTAGCCGGAGCTGTGCAAGTGCGGCAGTGCAGCGTCCTCGTGCTCGTCCTGCAACACCCCGCAGGTCCCGTCTTACCAGGTGCAGCAGTTTGGGCCCGTCTCGATGGAACCATTTCTTTGAGAAGTGTGGGCAGCGAGTCACTTACGTCAGCTTGTCGCAGTGTATTCAGTGACAACTGAAATTTGGGTGAACAGAATAGTATATTTTGACAAAAAGGTAAACAGTTAATATACCATGGAAAATCACGAGCATCTTCCCCTTCCCTCCTCTCAAACTGCAGCATGAAATAGTGCTGGCCTTTACTGGACTATGGTTCCGTAATCATGGAGTGGAGTGCCAGCTAAGGAGTACTCTATTCAAGCTTCACTGGTCAAAAGACAGGCTGAAAGAGCTTCTGCTTTCTGGGTATTTTAATGCACCAGGTAATGGAGACCTGGGAAGCAAGTCCTTTTATTTTCTTTAGAATACATTTTTCCTAAAACATTGGCTTTGCTAGTGACTCTAGTCTACCATGTCCAAGTCAGGCAGGTCAGAGAGCGAGGGCCCCATTTCCACACAGTTCTGTTGATCTTTATGTTGGAAAATGTAGCTGGACATGCCAGTGACAAATTTCAGTGCTGCTCATAATTGGCTGGCTTCATGCAACTAGGGTCTGACTATCTACTTGATTAATTCTGTAAGGGCTGCATTAGCAAAGTTGTACGATTTCCAAGGAGATACAAGGTCAAATGTTATGCTAACAAAGAATCGCTTGGTGAAGTTCTCTCTGGGTTTCTTGAACCAAAACAGAAGACTTTGTACGTACGAAGCTAGCTGGCTGTGCATAATGGCATTTTGAATGTCAAGTGACATGTTGTGCAAACATGGGTAAAAACTCAAGGGTTTGTTCACTCGGCAATGTATTTATTTCACTTATTTCCTACAGGAAAGGACAGATAATGTCTGTTCAGCTGAAAAGATGATCAAGAAGCATGCATATCACTGCGTAGTTTTACCAACCAATTGACCTCAATGGCAGGTACAGAGAAAGGAGGTCCTGCCACGCGGGGTGCTAGCTTAGAGCCAGTAAAAGTGGAAATTACATCCTGAGGTGGAGTGAATTCTTTATCCTAGTGAGACTGACACCATCTTCTGCTATTCTGCTATCTTAGCTAGGATTATTACTGACTTTCATTTATGGTCTAATGGCTAATATTCTTTTTAAAATTATTAGGAAAGTGTACTCTTCCCCTGCTCACCCTCCAGAAGAAAGAAAAAAAACCACACACTTGCAATAACTATTTATTTGCTTTATCTAATATTAAAACACAGGAATTTCCTGCAGGTATAAGTTTTCTAAATTAAAAAAAATCATGATTTCAAGCATTTTTTCATTATATTACATGTTAACTTATTGTTCGTAGTAGATTGAGATAAGTTCAAGATAAGATACTTAATGTTTTAGTCTCAGTGAAAAAGTTGGAATTACTGAATCACTGAATCTCAAGCAGATCTAGGGCATAGCTGTAGGAATGCCAATTGCAAAATATCATGTATAGGTTTTTCCACAATAATCTTTGATTTAATTCCAATTAGTGGGATTACGTTGGACTTGTTTGTTAATCAAGTGGATCCCAGCAACTGAATATTCATTGAGCTGCTTGACTTTAAGGAGCCTTAAAAAGTTGAATACCTTTCTATTGACTTGAAAGGTCCAAGTTTACATATTTTTAGTTAGTGCTTGAGTTTGTTTCCTCCATAATAAATCACAGGGTAAACCTTGGCAAATTGCTAAAGATATTGCGAGTGGCCAAAAATCACAACGGAGCCTCTGCTGTTTCCAATGTCCACACTGCTGCTCACCATGAGCAAAGCCCCTAGCGCTGGCACCTCCTTGATTCAGCTCCCTTTGGAACTGCTGGAGCCTTTCCGCTGTGCTCCCTGCCCCTGGCATCCGTGTTTTGGGATCTCGGCAGGGCTTTGGGCAGCTGGAAGTGTTTGCAGATGCCAGGGACTGGTATTTCCAGAAGGGCCGAGCATTTGCTGGTGCAATTTGGGGCAACTGTGGCATGTTGGTTCCCTTGAAACACAGACCGAGTTTCAGCTAGAGGAGGACGTACCCTGCAAGGCAGTTCAGCTGCTGGCAATGGAATATGTAACCCCAGAGAGAGTGCTGTGTGATTTCCCAAAAGAGGGCATACCTCCTAGGTGTGTGTTGTGGTGTTAGGAGCAAAATCTTGCAGGTTTTCCAGGTAACTTCTGGTCTTGTGGAGAATCCCTCTGTTACTGATAACCTGGGGCTGCTTTATTTTTTTTTAAGCAGTTGCTGATCAGGATTTTCCTCTTAGTATACAGAAGGGAGGAAGTACAAAACATAGGTGATGCTAATAAATTCAAGTCACCGAGCAACTGAAAAATATTGTCAGATATAACAATTTCTGTCAAAACTGCAGACAAAAGGATCTGTTTTTTTTCTATTTTGCATGAATTTTAAATAAATGCCTAGGTGGAAAACTGGGTAGCTATGAATAAACTTTCAAAAGTGATCTTGCACAGTTCCTTCTATAATGTCATACAAAGACACCAAAAGAAAATGCAGTTGCAGAGTGACAGCAGGCACTGTCAGCAACCTTGTTAGAAAGGCCAAAAAAAAAGCTAACATGCTTAACTTCAGAAGAAATGCAGCCCGTTTTATAAGGCCTAATATCTTTTTTTTTTTTTTTTCCCAATTATATGCTACTAGAAGAGATTGTTGTTATTATTGGGGCAAAAAACTGCAACAGTGTTCCAGTATCTTACTGAAAGCACTTTCTTGTGTTTGGAACTGGACCAGTTCCTAAGACAACCCATGCTCCAAAGTGTTTGATACAGATTGCTTGATATCTTTACAGCAAAGAAGGAAGTCGTGGGACTTAGTCACAAAAATTAGCCAATTTTTAATGTACAAGATTAGGAGAAAACATTTTTCTTGTTAGTTGTTCCCCAGCTACACGTTAGAGGGTTTCTTGCTGTTCTACTGATAGCAGCCATTGCTAGAGGCAGAATATGGGACTAAACAGAGCCCAGTCTGGCAAGGCCTGTTTTCTGGGGCGCTCTGCTTTGCTTTCTGAGCAAATCCCCCTACCACTTTCCCCAAAGCTCATTAAGTGAGACTGGAGAATTAAGTTTTCAGCCAGCTGCTGAACTTTTCATATTTATAAACACTTGAGTCTTTTGCTTATCTAAGAGAAAATGTGTATAGTTTGGAGATGTGCACTTCCCTGCCAATGTGTAATGAGTGGTTGTACACTTCACAGAAAAAAAGCCTGAAGTTTCCTGTCACAGCTGAGTGTCGATGCCAAGGGCAAAGGTTTCTTGCCTTGCTAATCTACATCTTAACTCATGCACTTAATGTGAAGGTGCCACACGCAAACAGGCAGAGAAGAAGCTAGCTGCAATGAAAAGCTCCTGCGCTGCTGTGAATGTTATGTTTTAAAAGCCTTTTTAATGTAATATTTGAGGTTATGATATAAGCCAGGAGGGCCAAAGTAAAGCCCTCAAAGTAAATGAGTTCTGTCATTGCTGCCTCATGGAAAGAGGGTTTGTATGAGGATAATGCGAGTCCCACTGAATAACTGGGGAGATGAGTTGGGAGGGTGCAGGGGAGTTTGCACCATTTGTTTTAATCCCGTCTTTATTTCTGGGATGGTTTAGATGGCATCTACAATACATATCCTGTCCAGAGCCCGTCCTTCCTGGGCTCTGTTCAGTTTTTGTACGTTTGAATGAATGACCTGTAAATAATCCGTGCCTGATGGCGAAGCTGCGCGGCCTCCTTCCCCGCGCGCCGCGCACAGACGAGCCGCA